AAGTTAGAACATTTTGTTGGTTCCAGCCCAGGACACGAAATTTAGGTTACAGTTCCAAACTTCATTACTCCAAGCAATTTTTTTCAATTACAGTTTACTTCCGTGAGTTACGTATGAGTTTTGAGTGTGGATAGCTCGCTTTTATTAACATTAAATTACGGTTTAGATAGCTTTTGCTTGTTCGGTAAAGAAACGGAACTTTTTCTCACCTAATTTGTGCATGTCCCACGTGTCCTTGTACCTATTAGCATCACTTGGAGGCCTTTGCAGGTCTGTATAAAAGTCAGTGATCCATGACATAGCGAAGGTTTTTAAGGTCCCTCTTTGACAAAATAACGCCTGTGTACCGAATATGCATTGCTCTTAAAACCTTCAAACATACTAGAGAGTATAACAATGTACTCGGTTAACCGCCAAACATCTTGCTCCATTTAGGGGTCAGATTGATTTAATGTAGAGAGCTTTGAAAGCAGCTCTGATGATATTGGGTAGAACAAATAAATTATACGGAAAATTATTCAAGGAAGATTATAATTGACAACTGAAACTTGTTCAGAAATTAAGTTATTAGATAAAAACTCACGCAGATTAGACGCCTGTGTAAAATTATCCAGACTTACGCGTAATTTTGGTTACTGAGTGTATCGCACTAACACAAAACGTATGCACTTCGTTCTCTAACGTCCAAATTTCGACATAATTTTTCAAATCCATTTTCGGTGGCACCTCTCAAAAAGCTTAACGGTTGGAAAAGTTCAAACGTCTGTCACTGGACTAAGTGGTTAAGTCAGCCTTCTAATAATGCACATGGGGTTTACGAGCTAAAAATACTCTAAGCAGCACAAACCTGGTAAAGTGTTGACCTACGATTGTCGCGTCCTAGTTGTAAACAGTTGTGGCTGCAAAAAGGTAACTTTTAGCCTTCTTGACTAGACTTGGGCTAGAATTTGTTGTACCAGACAAGATATGCGAAGCTAATGCAAGAAATTCAGCCAACGTAGCGATTGCCAAAGTTTGACCGAGCCTGCAATTGCAACGTAAAGAAGTAATTTTTTGAAAAGTACGGAAAATGACATCTTTTCATCAAAAAATACTCTGGAGTCGTGAGCCAAGTTTGCGATAGCACTACTTCCTGTGCAGTGGATTATAAATAAATAATAAATGAAGCGTAATAAATGAAGCGTTTCGGGTTAGACTTCATATCTGAGATGTACACAAAATCCCGTCCTGCAGCGTAAACATCGGGTTGTCTTACACTACACCATATCTACTTAATTCGCCTTGGTCGCAGCCAGTTTACTCGAGATTTTATTCCACAGGAAGGACTCCAATAAAATTTTGCTCATAATTTATAGATTAGTTTGCTTTCGACACTGCGTTTGGTTATATATTTTGCCGACTAAAAATTACAATTCTTTGCAAAGTGAGTTCAATGGCCTTTGGCGACATTTTAGAAATGAAAGTAACATCTATTATTGTACATTTTTTCAGTCGTAATTTGAATCGCTTGTAAGAGGCGTATTGTTGCAACATGATCTGATCAAGGAACAAAAATGTATAGGCCTGACTTTACTAGCTGCATCAAACTGAACAACTAATCCGAATGACGCAAATTCATTTCACTAATGTTCGGCTCTGAGAAACTGTAAGAAAATAGTAAAGTAGGGCCTGCATTTTTTGAAGCGACTGGCAAGCCAGCGACGTTCTTCTAAAATTAGTTGCTACACCATGCCAAAGGCGAGTGTTTCAACTTATTGACCACGGCGGATCAGGTCAGAGGAAATTAACCTCCCCTATTCATACGTTCACAAAGCTGGTAGCCAGAAAATAATTCACAAGACAGAACAAAAATAGCCATGAACGTATGATACTCGTGTATGTAGGTACACCTGTTTTGTTTGACAAGAGTGACCTAAGACAGTTTCGCCCAAAATTCAACTAAAGCCTACTTTTCATGGCTTGATTGGTGCATAGCCTCAACAACTTTTTTGTGCTCACTTGCAAAATATTCTCAATTAATAACAATATATGGATATACTTACATATATTGGACAAAACATTTATGGTGTAAGGTCGTCTAACTAAGAACTCTAACATTACTGTTTACGCTCATTTTTAAACTGCCGTTCTTTCTGGCTGTCACGAGTGAGCGTCTGTGTGAGTGTATATAAAAAAGGTTTCCCGTACAGTCCCACCATGGTTCAAGAGGTAATGATAATTTGAACCATATGTATTATATGAAAAAGGTTCTTTGTGATAAAATTAATGAAAATAAGAATATTCAACACCAACCAAGTATGGCTGAATTTGGAACTCTTCAGAACGGGGAAATTATTTCAAGCGAAATTATTTTTTTGCATATATATGTTAAAAAGTCTATATATATTTAGGTTTGCCTTTAATGCTGATTCTCATCATCAAGCCCTGCATCTCGCCAAAAATGTCTGACGAATTTAAGTCGGAAAGACATTGAAAAAGAAGACATTGGGGAGAGTATCGTAAATACGCATCCCACAAAAAAAGTATATTTTTCAACTAAGTTTTGTGATCGTTTGGCAAACAGACTCCATGCTTCTTAGCAGACTCACAATTTAAATATTTTCTATGAATGAAAGTGTTGGTAGCTCAGGTGGTGTAGACGGCCAGTGGCTCGTTCACTGAGGTGGGCTGAACAATTTAATTGCAATGAAGTTGCAATCAATCAAAACTTAATCAAATTGCCTAGCTCAACGAACAAGCAAATGACCAACTTCAAATATAAGACGGATTCGTCTTTGTTCCGGACACTTTTCAAATGGGTATTTTCCGCCATTTCTACTGCTGTTTGGAGTATAATGTGCAAGCTCCTATCGAAATTTAAATAGCTTACAGTCGACCCAACAGAAAATGTTTTGTTTGGTAAATTATATTAACAACACTTGTTGGAACAATTAAGCCGCAAAAATATTTTACAAAGAAAAAAATTGCATTTGTTTTGTTGTGACGTCAGAGTGGAAGTGTCTGTTTAGTACCTAAAACCACTTTGTTTGGCACTAATAAGCTCATATATTAGAGGTAAATTAAGTAAACGTTTTGTGCCAAAACTTTGGTCAAAGTGGGGAGTAACAAAAAGTCACTGACATGACATACAGTTATTTATATCTCGGTCTTGTTGTCGAAAAAATTTTTTTGGCTTGTTGATCTAGGAATGCCTTTGTTGCTTGCCGGGCACGGCGCTTAGGTTTGATTTGCAACAAGCAAAAACATTTGCTACAGTTGGGTTTCCGTTTTAAGGAAAGCTCTAAGCAGGAACTACTTTTTCCAGTGTCAGTAATTCATCAGCGAATGCCAGTGAGCCTCACTAAAGAAAAGGCACCAAGCCGCAATAACATGGTTTTTGCAAAGCTAAACATCCCTATTTGCTAAAAGCTTAAACTGCTGAATAAAATAATAATCATATCTGTAAATACACGTTTTAAAAGTTGTGACGGCAAATGAGCAGCAGAATGTGAAAGAGATCCGTTTACATATAATTGTATTCCAAACGTTATGCCAAAAAGCCCGCCCGAAATAAAAATTCCCACGAGCAAACGGTAGCAAAAGCTCTAGTTGCCTCTAAAAGAACTGATTCTCCATTTTTGTGCATGCACAACAAAACAGAAGATACCGACAGACATGAAACCTTGTGGAATTAAACTTAGTTTACACTACCATATAGTTTAGTAACCTATGTGGCAACCACGAGCAACAAACACTATTAAGTGATCACGATTCAAACTTGTCACCAAAGCAACCCGAACACGTCTTCATTTTATACTGGTATTAAAGAAGAATTCCCGTCAATAATTTTTTACTGCTTGATTTCAGAGTATTTTGCGCCCATTTCAGGTCCAAATTAACAAACTTGCTATTTTTTGCCTCAGCAAAATTTGGCTAACCGGTACGTGCATGTAAAAAATTTCTCGAACTACTAGCTTTTTTGCATTCATTTTGCTTACCTCACAGCAATGAAAACAACTTAAAACTGCTAGATTTGCTTGCGTTTTTTAAAAGGATTGAATTGAATTGACTTCGATACCACTCAAGTCACATTGTATTTTGTGGTTTTACTATGCAGGGTTACTCCCTGGTCTAATAAGCTTCTTCAGTTTACCTGTGGCATATTTTACGTGAACAAATTTGACAAAGGCAACTTTGCTGGAGCTTACGTCCAAGGGCTTCAAAAACAACTTTTACGTGTACGAAATAATTCAGATACTCGCGACAGTGGGAGCAAGTAAAAACACCATCTTTTTTCTTGAACTCTCATGAACAGTATGGAAGTTCCCGAACGAGGAAACTTTATTTTACACTGTCTCAGGATAAGCATGCGTTTTTGGAAGAGGTACAACCAGACCTCCGGCATCACCTATAAGCTACCTGCACAAAAGTCAAAAACTGTCTGTTGAACACGGTTTTCTCGGATGAAACCTCAGATACGTGCATTGTGTTGGCAAAAGAACAATGCGGTTGGTTGGGACCTATATACATGACCATCCCATTTTGTGGTCATTTCAAACTGATTTCCTCCAGACATCTGAAAGCTTGATATTTCGTTTAATATATTGTATAAATGGAATAAAGAGCAAACAAAATATGACTTTGCATGCAGGCCTTCACTACACCTCCAGAGAGATGACCACATTTTCAGTGAGATAAAATAACTTGAAAACTAGAATACAAGATCCCAAACGCCAATATCTCACTAGTTAGTTGCTTAAAAATCAAATGCTTGTTGAAAATTTGTGTGCTACCTGAAAAATGCGAGCGGATTTAAACGAGACTCGTGATTTAAAACCTGTTTACGCAGGCGGTTTCTTTCAGTTGTCTCGGCTGTCATCCAACCAAAACTCAGGAAAACCTGATGTGTGTCACTTAGCACAAAAGGCGGACGCCGATTGGTTATCCACAGTAAACATTGCACCCTCGTAAAATGACAAGAAATCCCTAGCTGTATTATGGTAAAACATATTCGGCGGTGACAATCGAGTATTCGGAGTATATTTGCTTGCAAAATTAAGTGGATGCGTGCAAATTTGTGATCCTCGTTTTGGTAAGTCAAACCTTCGCACACTTGCGAGGGCGATTCTATGTTGGGTGCTGTACACAATAAGTGAACGCTACAAAACGGAATCTATTTTTATAAACGTTTGATAAGCGTTTCCTCAAGCAAAGGTTTATTTCAAATAAATGTTTTATTCCTAAATACGTCCGGTGGTAAAATTTTTGAAAATCACGGAATTAGTTTCCTTAGGTTTCAAAATTCTACCTTCTAACTGCCTTGAGGTGGCATAGGGTCGGTATAATGTATCTTAAGCTCTGCAATTTAGTTTTGGAAATTTGCAAGTTTCATGCAAACGGCACCTTGCATGCATAAGAAGGAACGACAAACTACGCTTGATAGCTTGTTTTGTGAACGCGGTATATTTTTACTTTAGTTGCAAAATCTTTTATCACTGGGCGTAACTTTTAACCTGCAAGCCTAAATTTTCTGGACAAAACTGTTTGTATTCGTTGTCTGTTCACAAGCTATGCGATAGTTAAACGACAGACTGAAGAACGGTGTAAGCACACAGGCTTGTGGAATGCATTAAGCAAATTGGTTTATAAGGTTCGTTGCTCATCAACAGTCCTAGGAAAAATATTTTACAGTCTATTATCAAAATATCCTGATACAACTGACCTTATTCTGCCATCAAAGAAAAGGTGGCACTGAATCGAAACAAAAACCCGCTTACAAAGTAGAAGCAAAACGATTGATTGTGTGCGAGGGCAGAAACTGAATATATAAAGTGCTGTTTGGTAGACATGTGCACATCCAACAATCAGCTATAACCTAGACATCAAGTCTTCCTTAGACCGCGTTTTAGTTTTTTCATAAATGTCTGCTTCAGTCCCCACACGCGTATACCGACACTTTCTTACAAAGATCATCACCGTTTGTCGCTGACTAGCTTATGATATGTTGTCTAAACGCACAATTTTTTATGAGTGTCAAACATTCTGGTCTTGCCAAAAAGGAAGGATACCTGTTGTTGTTTTATGAATCAAGGTAAAACCTATGATGCCAAACATACATTGCCATTCTTCGCCGTCTTTATGCTCATTTTGGTTGTGCTTCTGATAATTTGAGTCAGGAAAAAAGTAGCATACTACTCTATGCCGTTACTAGCTTGGAAGCATGTATGCGCCAATTATGTACAGTACAACAATTCCTGGGGAGTTTTCCAGAAAAAAAGGATGTTAGCATATAACCTGTCCAAGGAGAACAAAATAAGTTATTAAGATGTGGATTCTGAAACACAGCTAAACACATCCAACATTTTAAAGACGGCTGTATCTTAATAGTTCTGCTGTTTTACTCACATTTTAAATGGGTGAATCTCTTCAAATAATACAGCGCTGCACGTTTTACATCAAAGAGTCCGAATCCACTCCACCAACAAAAAATATCTTAGTAAGGAAATAAAACCGTCATCTGGGAAGTCGTCAGTCAACAAAGGTTGCCCCATGATTTGAGTCATACCCATGATCGTCACGCCGCAAATCACACGCCTGTGTAGCCAAACGTTTCGGTCATCAAATATTGGGCTGAAGATCGGGGTTTGAAAACCCCTGAGTTTCGTGGGACGGGTGCTACTAGAAGTTCCCAAAAGGACCGAAAGAGTTATACAGCGATTCTCGATCTTCCAGGGTAGATTGGCGTCACTTGCGTGACAAAATTTCCATTGATAAACAAATAATACCTTATGATTAAATGAAAACCCACGAGTGAATGAGGACCCTAATACAAAAACTTTCAGCCGCATTTGAGATTCCGAACCAAAGATTTCTTTAGAAGCTACCTCTTGATAACTATTTCCGTTTTCAGTTGAGAACGGCTTTTTCCTTGCTAACTAACTTTAATTCACCTTAAGCTGTCTAATATTTATTCAGGAAAGGGGATCTTTTTCCATGATTTTACAGATAAAACTCTAGTTGAAGGAATTGTTGACCAGTTTAAATTGTCCGGCGGTCTACACTTTCGAATATACAGCATAAGTTTATTTTGCATAACTTGGCAGGGTTTTGTTTGAGTTGGTTAACGTTTAAGGATATTTGTATAATGTCACATCATTATCCCTTGAACAAAAATGCGGCTATCTTTATCCATTATTTCGAGGTATACTAACCGGATAGAATTCCATAAAAATTCGTATGAAACGTTTACCAATCACGTAACCTTTATTGTCCTACTCATGTGAAACGGGGCCAGATTTTTTTGAAAGCATTTACACCAAGGCCGTGTCGGTCAATCATGCGCTAGTTGGAAAAAGTCGGTCTTTTGTGGTTTTTGTATCGATTAGGCTAATTTTAAACGCTCAGACTGGTGGAAAACTGATGACCTGAAACCTGTAAAATACCCCACATATTTGTTTTGTCCAACCTTTGAAAATTGTCATTCCTGATTTTTTTAATGGGAATTAGTTCATTATGCAATAGAACCCCTCATTTAACGTGCGCCAATTAACATATTATCTCGTTACTGTTTCTGCAACCTACAATATGATTTCTTGTATCGCCCGCGCATTACTTGTCACTTTCTGTCTAGAGCACCTGGTAGGTAACTGGATAAAGCAGTTGTCTTTGCAGCCCGGTGGAGTCGCTGCCATATGTAGCTTTTTATTACAAAAATAGCTAAAGGTTATTTTATCGCGTTTGGCATATATCTCGCATTAATTATTTACAAAAAGTATAACAGACCCACGAGTATTTTAGATGCTATAAGCTGAATGATTACTCGCAAAAATAACAAGCACGTTGTATCGCGTTTGGCATATATCTCGCATTAACTATTTACAAAAAGTATAACAGACACACGAGTATTTTAGATGCTATAAGCTGAATGATTACTCGCAAAAATAGACAAGCACGTTTGTGCCGTATGAAATACGAACTTCTTTATTCTCAATATAGCGTATGGCAAGTCATAAATAAAAAATAGTCATTTACTAACTTTTCGTAACTTTAACACCCGGTTTGAACCAACATTTTACTGTTTGTGCTCACATATGGGATTAAGAATTGTCTGAGATTATCCGTACGGAATTCAGGTAAATTTTGTGGTATATTTAGAGTTTCATGATTATTGTTAACTCAGACAGAACACAACAAATAAGAGCAGAATTGTGTTGTTCAGTGTTTCATTTAACTTAATCGAATTCCCTCAGGTGCCAACTATCCAAAGTCAATTAGAGAAGAAAATGTGTTCCGGTTTGTGTTGCCACTGAAACAATCAATACTGAGTATGCCATTCTGATTAGTCAGGCTCATTTGTGGGAGTGTGGTTTGTGTGGAGGCTGGGGAACTGAGTGTGCTTGTACTTTTTTTCTCCTTGGAGATCATCCCTGTCCAGAGGGCAGATAGTTATTGGTTGTCAATTAGGTTGATTTATGCGGATTCAGAATTCATGACTTCTGCCTCCGCATGGCGATGTCCCACACATCGTTGTAGACAAAAATGTAGCCCCTTTAATACTGTTTTCTGTCAAAGTATGAGGTGCAGCTGCATAATCTTTCTCTAGTTTATTTTCAGTTACTGGTTTTATGGAATGGATAAAGTGTTCCGGTAACTGATACCTGCAGCAGTTTGATGTATTTGGATTTGTATCAGGTTTTCTGATCACGGTGCTCTATTTGGCACACGCCGCTTTTGGTAGACCGAGCTCTTCCCTATCGTTACCTGATTGACTCAACGTGATGTTGAATCAGCAGGGGGGAAGTGAAGGCAGCGGAAATGTTTTGTTGTCAACAATCGTTAGTCACTTGAGTGGTAGTACAATTACACTTGACAGACTTGCCAACCTTTCTATATTTAGCGTTGACTAAGCTAACTAACTTTGGTTCCGACGGGGGGGCTCATGCACATGAATCATAAAAAAGCATTAATAGCTCGTTCACGTTTGAAAAGTTTTGAGTGTACGTTGTAAATTACAGTTAAGAGTTTACTCACAAACCCACTTGGTCCCGACAGGCTTAGTCAACCTTGACTATAAAAGACCCTCGCCTGTCAAAAAGCTTTCACGCGTACACAACCGTATTTGCTTCATCAATGCTTACAGAAAGACAAACTCCCACAAAGGATCAAGTATTGATCCCCATGAACCTTCGGACTTTGCACAACATGATATTAGAAGAACATTGAAACCGTTGATAACGGGTACCCGGATCGGCCCCAGAAAGTGGAGAACAATAGTAAATGTGGGTATATCTAATGAGCCTACAATTATCTGTTCGCAAAGTCCGACAACAGCAATGGGACACTAATGCCGAAAGCGCTTTGCTTCGTTAAATGAACTGAGCAAACTCCACATGGACGTTAGAGCAAAATACAATAACCGCTGGACCAGAAGCATATCTCCACGTACGCTGAGTTCACGTAAATTCAGGAAAGCGTTTCATAAAGACTATCCAGGCAACTTGGAAAACCCTCTGAAAAACATGATGGGTGCAATGGCTCAGCAGCAGGCCAATGTACCGGTAAATACAAAAAAATAAAAACACAGCATCAATGCACTTGAGAATCAAAAATAATAAATTTGTTATGATACTTTCAGCGAATGAATGACAATTCACAGTGGTGTTGGATGAACCAGAATTCCCTATATGGCCAAGCGGCCACGAAGTTATACAAGCAAAAGCTGACCATTCAGCAGATTTCTGTGTTAGATTGAAGCATTTTATTCTTGTGTCACAACACTAAACCAATAATGCCGTAGAATTTCTAAAGAATCTACTTATTTTCAAGGCAAGTGACTAATTTATGCTTATGCTTGAAGCCACCGCTGGGGAACTTACGATTAAATTTTCAGAAGAACCCAGACACCCCAGGAACAATAAAAACGAAGGTGTTTACTCGTGAATGGGATGGAAGTCGAAAACCCTGAAGGAGCACCAATGGGACCGCCAGGTCCTGGATTCATCTTCTAATCGATGACATAGAACCTGAAATGTACTGCGCTACCATTCATAAAAACGAAGGTCTGACTACGTCACCTGGACGACACACTTGTAA